CAACTAGTAAAAAGAGCAAATTGTCCTGGAGCTCGAGTTTTTGATCTGCCCACTCTCCTTCACATATGAAGCATTTCGACTTTTCCTTCATTATCTTTGCTTCCCATGAACTCCCTGCTACACCCAATAAGCATGTCTTTGCCAAAATTTCTTCTTTTTCTTTGAATATAAATTTAAAGAAATACGATAGAAGTCTATGGATGACTATGAAATTTTCAAGTGAAGAGATTGTTAATATAGACAAAGAGTGCACCTAATCAATTTAATATCAATAAATGTAAAACATATCAATTGAATATCTATAAATGCTGAGACATTGTTAAGAATTTTATGTTCAGAGAAATTGAATGTAACAAGATAAGTAAGTGGTAAAACAAGTAAGTGGTAAATGCTAGTAGTTGGTAAATGCAATAAAAAAATAGTAAAAAATAAGGTCACATTTTTTCTATAGTAAAAAAATAACTTCATTTACTATATGGTCAGAGAAATTCAAATGAAAGATGAAGTACGTGATAGGTGATAAATGACAAAAAGTAGCTAGTAAACTTCAGCCCAATGTGCTGAAGTTTTTTAGTGTATTTCTAAAAACATCAGCACTTGATAAGCTGAAGTTTTTGTCCTGGATTCAATAGTTTTTGTCGTAAAAATTTTTCAAAAAAACTTCAGCAGAAACTGCTGAAGTTATTTCGTGTATTTTTAAAAACTTCAGCCCTTGATATGCTGAAGTTTTTGTCCTGGATTCAATAGTTTTTGTCGTAGAGCTTTTTCAAAAAACTTCAGCACAAACTGCTGAAGTTATTTCGTGTATTTCTAAAAACTTCAGCACTTGATAAGCTGAAGTTTTTGTCCTGAATTCAATAGTTTTTGTCGTAGAGCTTTTTCAAAGAACTTCAGCACAAATTGCTGAAGTTATTTCGTGTATTTCTAAAAACTTCAGCACTTGATAAGCTGAAGTTTTTCCTACAATCGACACTTTTGTTATGACTTTTAACCAAAACTTCACCTTAAAAAGCAGAAGTCATTTACTTCATACTGAAGTTTTTTCAACAAAAATGTACTTAAAATTCATAATAAAAGACACAAACATATTTTTCTGAACAAAAGTCAACTAAAAACCAATTAATGTATATTCACAAAATCCAAATTTTGTGCACCCAATCCTCTAATCAAAAAATTCACACAAAGTCTCTTCAAAATCTCCATAATCATGTCCTTGTTGTTCTTCCGGAGTTTCATGGCCGCTATCTTGTTTCCACTTTCCACGAGCCTAAAGATTGGCAGCCAATTCTCTCCTGAATGTCAATGCCTGACTTAGATGGAAATTTAAGATATCTTCTTTCTTCAACCGCATATCAATGAACTTAAGAGCAAATATACCATAATCAACACTACAAAAAGAACATGATAAAGAAATTGAAGAATAGTTACCACAAGGGCAAAAAATAATAAACATAAGATGCATGGTAAAACATAAGCGAAACACGTACTTGTTACCCTGCAGCGGTGTCTCCACCCACTTAATTTGAAATTTTTCCATAGGCCTTTTCCCATAGAATTTATTGCGTGCCCCAAAGTCCAAGCATTTGAGATAGTGTAGGATCAACCGGGCATAATTTCTGACATGTTCAAGCGCACACTCGTATTTTACACTGCCCATGGAATCATACACATATATAGTTTTATCTTTAAAGTCCAGAATTCCAAAAAAGTAGTGCGTAGATCTCTGGCCCGTCCTTGGCTTAAGTTGAAATGGAAAGAATACTTTTCTGGCAGATGCCCATGAGATACCACAGGAAAGGTCGAGGCCTTTTACATAGGTTGCCACCTTTTCATTTGTTGACTTTTCAATAAACCAACTAAAGTCCGTAAGTGGCTGAATAACCGCTTCTTCTTCTTCTTCTTCTTCTTCTTCTTCTTCTTCTTCTTCTTCTTCTTCAGCCTGTTGTTTGGATGTCCTCTTTCTCTTTGATTTTCTCTTTTTTTGATTTTCATTCTCTTTTCCTTCCTTTTTCTAATTTTCTCCTTCTTCTGAAGGATGAATACCAGCCAACTTAGTCGTATAATGATCAAAAATTAAATCTGTTACTGCACATCTTGATTTTGGATAAGTTGGAAGGTGATAGCAATATTTTTTGTGCAAGTAATATATATATACTTCCATATGCTGCAAATGAACAACAAAAAATGAAAACATGTGAAATAAAAACTTCAGCATGCATAAGTATGAAGTTTAGAAAAACGCATTACAAAACTACAAACAGCATGACAAAAACTTAAGCATATTCAGTTTGAAGTGTTAGAAAATAATCTAAAAAACTTCAGCATGTTTGCTTTAAAAGTTTAGAAAAAAAATAGAGAATGCATGTCAAACACTTCAGCACGGTTAGGCTGATGTTTTAGCAATTAAGCTAAAAAACTTCAGCAGTTTACTATGAATAAAGCTGAAGTTTTCCAAATTACAGTACAAAAACTTTACTATAAAAAATAAGCTGAAGTTTTGGGAAATACAGTTGAAAACCAATTCAAAAAACAAACTTAATAATTTACTTCATCCGCAAGATCAAAGTTAGGATCCATAAGCTCGGTGAAGAATGATTTTGGAATATCAACTCTAGCTAATCTGAATGGATTGGAATCATATTCACTGGCATCCATCTCCAACCACTCTGTAAATCTTTGTATCAATCCACTGTCTTGATTAACATAACGGAAGGGACACCTTCGTGTAGTCTTTCCTACTTTCCAATCTTGCCCCCTTCGCTTTTGTTTATGAATTACTTAAGGAGATCTCAACCAAATACTCTCCATACGAATCCTTTTCCCTTTTTGATCTGGTTTTATTTTTGCTTGCTCTTTCTGCTGTTTCGTCACAAATAACTGCTGCTCTTCAGCAGCATGGGAAAAATCCACAGCCATCGTGGCAGATACTTGACCAACCCCTCCTGTTCACGACCTTCTTCTCTCTCTATACCAACAACAAAGGCAGCAGAATTACCTTCTGAGCCAGTCCCTTATGTACTACCCAGCGAAAATGAACATTTATTGAATTTGGCGATATCACTGGTGTCACACATAGCAGAACTGGAAATCTTCCTTCTCTTAGGATTTGGAAGAAGTTGCGATGCATTAGATGAGATCTGCAAAAGCAAGGAAAATATAAACATAAATACAACTGATACAAAAACACATCAGACAAAAAAATACCTTGTAATCGAATTGCAGAAAATAACTACCTGGTCTAAGTATTGAGACACAGATAGTGTTTGCATTCCAACAGATCCACTACCTTTACCTTCAGATACGCCTATATCTTCATGCAAAAAAAAGTAAAATAATACTGACTAAATTTTATAAAATAATTCAAACACACTTCACACCTGTCTGTATGCCAGCAGGTGTGAATAGATGTATTTCTCCTTTTTGATATAGCTGAATAAACTCACCAAATTCCTTTTGAGCTGCATTGAGTCTTTCCGAATAATCATTCAAAAACATTAAAAAAATAAAGTAAGTAAAATTTCAAACTGTAAAAAATATACTTGGATCATTCAAAAATATAAAGAATACCTTGACGTTTGTCTTCCGCTGTGGTTTCCCCAGGCTGCATCCCTTTATCGATATCAGTAGTTCCAGTTTCATTCAATTGTGCAACAACGTCGAGGAGCATTGGAGTATTCTCTAGAAGGTTTTTCTCAACTCTATCTTCATTCAATTGAGCATCATCAGAGAGTTTTTGAGTTGTCTCAACTTCCTCTGCATATATATAAAGAGGGGGGATGGATCAATGACATATATATATATATATATATATCATAGAAAAAATTTATACCTGTAGTGAAAATTTCCTGTGTACTCATACCTAGAATTTCCTTGCAAATAGCTAGTGTGTCTGCAAACCGATTGTCTTTCCCAATAGTGCTACACACATCACTCGATGTCAGTTCTAAAGTACCAACAGGTGCATGATCTCCATCACCAAACAAATTGCCTTTTGCAATATCACTGCCCAAAGCACAACTTGGTGCATGTTTTCCAATATCAACAACTTGATCATCTGCACCTTTCTCAGTAGATAACTCTTCAGCATTTCCATCTTTACTCAGTCTATCAACACTGGAATGTTTCTCTCCAACTTGTTGTTGAACATGTTCATTGCCTTCAAGAGCCGCTTCCTCACGTGTAGCATTTTCATATGAGACTTTATGCGATGAATCAGGAGAAGCATGTTCTTCAGTAACAAAAACTTGATCATCTCACCTTGCTTGGTTCCAACATTCTCAGTTGATAACTGTTCATCATTTCCATCTCTGATCAGTCTATCACCACTGGAACGTTCCTCTTCAACTTGGGCTTGCACATGTTGATTGCCTTCAAAAGCCGCTTCGGCATGTGTAGCATTTTCAGCTGTGAATTTATGCGATGCATCATGAACAACATCATGTTCGAAAAAGTCGTGCATCCTATAATATTGTCGATAGTTCCTCAAATCAAAATTGCCATCATCCATTCCATTTGATTTGTCGACAATCTTTAACAACTTTTCAAACTTCTCATCAAAATATTCCTAGGAAAAAAAGTACTAACAATGATTAATCTGAATAACATTAGCAGAAACAAAAAGACTTCTCTATAAATTAGCTTACCTTCACATTTTCAAACACCGCATCCACAATAGCAGAGCGCTCATCCCGTTGAAACTTATCGAGAACTTCTTTCACGATCGTGCTTCTTTCTTTTTCTGCATGCCTTTGAACCTCCATCGTTACCCTCTAGTATAGAGACACACAACAAAAATTCAAATAAAAAAGAATGCTGAAGTTCAGCAAATACAGAACACAACTTCAGCTATTATGATGCTGAAGTTCATCACAAACAGAACAAAACTTCAGCTCAAAATAGGCTGTAGTTTTACAAAAACACAATCAAAAAACTTCAGCTCAAAACTTACAGAACATATTGTGTCGAGTAATTCATTCTCATCAAACTCCATTGTAGAACGGTTAGAACGACTCTGGGTACGAGATGATTCACCAGCAACAGGAGTTCGATTCGCTTCTTTTGATCGACTCCGACTACGTGGTGATTCGCCAATAAGTGGAGTTCGATTCACTTTTTTTGATCGACTCAAACCATGTGGTGATTCACCAGTTGAAGGAACCGCATTAAGTACCTTTGAACGATTCCGGCTGCATGGTAATTGTCCAATTAAAGGCATTGAATTCAATTCCTCTTCTGTAGAAATTATATCCAATACCCTAAAGGTGCGATATCTCTGTTTAATACAAAAAAATATATTATGAGGGGAAAAAACTAATACGTCAACATATTAACACAAAGTCAAAAATAAAAAAAAAATAACTTACATCATGACTACTGAACATATCAAAAAGTTCGTTATATTTAGGCTCTCCCACACATACGTAACGTAACATCCTGGGAACCTGAGGGGTATCAAGGTAGTCATCATCTCTTATATACCTCTCTCGAATATCTGGGAAGCGCTCATAGAACCAAGCACATAACGGATATGGAAATCCACCAACTTTATACTGAGTTGAATGAAATTTGTTCTGCTTGTCCAATGCATGTTTTAGTGAGTAAATGAGCTTCTCATAACACAAATTACCCCAAGGATATTCAGCACAAACCTTATCATCTTCAACAATAGCTGCATACTCCTCCAGCACATATGATTCAGTCTTTTTCCTAAACAAAATAGACTCTACAACAAGAATTTTCATAAGCTTCACAGCATCATCATCACTCTCGCATACATGACTGTGATTCACATCATTCTTTAGATTTTCATTCCGAGTCATAAAATCTTGAATATCCTTCAAGGTCACACCCTTGGACTTACCAAAATAGCGCTTCAGAATATTACTCTCTCGATTAATTGGTTTTTCCACATTATGTGCTGTGCTCCGCAAAGCGCACATAATGTGAAAGTCTTCAAGGGTGAAGGAAACATCATGGCCAAAAATCTTGAAACTAATGCAGTCTCGATCATTGGTGAATATTCGAGAAAGACACAAACAATGAACCAACTTCATGCTGCATTGAAAATTCTCCATAGCCATAATATATCGAAATGTGCCATTATTAAGCTTATCACGTTGTGTAGGAGTCAAGAAACTTGCAATTAAACTCTTCAAATCGTGGTTCCCCTTCCAGTAACCCTTATAGTTAAACCAATCTCTAAACTCAAAATATCTTTGCCCTGGTTTTGTAGGTAGAGCAGCAGGGACATAAGGACCTTGGGGTATTATAGGTTGTTTAGGTGCTTTAGGTGCATTAGCTGCTTTACGTGCTTTAGCTGCTTTAGGATCTTTAGGTGCTTTAGGTGCCATCTGTTCAAAAAAAGTAAAAGATACAAAAAATAACATCAGGACATTATCAAAAAAGTCAGTTAAAACTTCAACTCTAGGAAGCCTGAAGTTGGCCAGTTACAAACAAAAACTTCAGCTCTAGAGCTGAAGTTCGACAGTTACAAAACAAAAACTTCAGCTCTACAGGTGAAGTTCACCAGTTACAAACAAAAACATCAGCTCTAGAGCTGAAGTTCACCAGTTACAAACAAAAACTTCAGCTCTAGAGCTGAAGTTCACCAGTTACAAAAACAAAAACTTCAGGTCTAGAGCTGAAGTTCGCCAGTTACAAACAAAAACTTCAACTCTAGAGCTGAAGTTCACGAGTTACAAAAATAAAAACTTCAGCTCCTATCTAAGATACAATTGAAGTATTATAAACTTCACACTTTGATAGTATCATCTATTTAACTCTCAAAATTTTTAAAAATTTCGACGTCTCCAAAAATCACTGAAGAATTTGTAGAATTTTCATCAACAACACAAACACACGTTCAAAAAGCCTAAAAATACTATCGTAAAAGTAAAACTAATGCACTTATCAAACTAAACCCTAAGAAACTATTTTATCATAAATACATGACTATCAAAACCAAAAACCAGAAATTAAATTGTAAAAAGAAATACTAAAATAAAACCTAGAAAGTTAATGCAATGTACCTGTGATTAAATCGTATTGGGGAACAAACAGTTGAAAAATCAAAAACAACGACGAAAACCGTTTGATTTCAGAGAAGAACAAATCAAAAAATGCGAATAACGGGAGAGAGAGACAGAAACAGTAGAAAACTAGCGTATACTTGGACAGAAAGTAGTCTTTTCTAAAGAAGGGCAAAATAGTCTTTTCAAAAGGCTTTTAACAAAAAAATAGGTACGGGTGCAAATAGAAAAATAAAGCGGCTACAGGTTAAAAAGGGGAGCCCAAATAGGGCGCCCCATGCAATTTTTACTTTTGGGGGATTTGCAGCCATACCCTATATTTTTGCCACCTTTTAACCTGTACCCTATTTTTAAAAACTATTGATTTCGTAACCAACTAACAAAATATTTGTAATAATATGACCATTATACCCCTTCCAAAACATATAAAAGATGCATCACGCATACCAGATTCAAAATTCCAGATCGCCTCTATCTATCCTCCATCACTCTGTCTCTTCTCAGATCGCCTCTCGCAAACAAGATTTGAACGAGATTCAAATTCCAAATTCAAAATTACAAAATACATTGTAAGTATTCAAATTCATCTTCAGAATTGAAAATAGTTTTTGAAACTGATTGATTTAATGATATATGTTTTCTGAACATGAACTCTTCATTAATGTGCTGAATTTGTATTCCAAATCTGTTTCACGTTGAATACTAACATTCTAATCCGACAAATTCAAATATGATGAAGTTTTCCACTACATAATATTCAGAAATTTTTTGTTTATTTGCTAAACAAGCTGAAGTTATTTAGTTCATATGTAAAAACTTCAGGAAAACGAGCTGAAACATAGCTGCACTGGTTAAAAAAATGAAACATAAAACTTCAGCATGTTTTATAGTTCATTTTCTAAAACTTCAGCAAAAGAGCTGAAGTTTTCCTCCTACACTGGTTAAAAAAATAAAACATAAATTAAAATTTAATATTGAACAAAAACTTCAGCATGGATGCTGAAGTTTTTTAGTTCATTTTTAAAAACATCAGCAAAAGAGCTGAAGTTTTCCTCCAACACTAGTTAAAAAAATAAAACATAAATAAAAATTTAATATTTAACAAAAACTTCAGCATGGATGCTGAAGTTTTATAGGTCATTTTTAAAAACTTCAGCAAAACGAGCTGAAGTTTTCCTCCTACATTGGTTAAAAAAATAAAACGTAAATTAAAGTTTAATATTGAACAAAAACTTCAGCATGGATGCAGAAGTTTTATAGTTCATTTTTATAAACATCAGCAAAACGAGCTGAGTTTTCCTCCTACACTGGTTAAAAAAATAAAATATAAATTAATATTTAATATTGAACAAAAACTTCAGCTGTAACGACCCCACCGGTCGTTTTGAGCTTTTGCACTTTGATCGCCAGTTTTCGGGCATGACTTGCCCCGTGTTATGTATTATGACTAATGTAGATCGTCGGTTTTGGTTTTCAGGAAAATTTGGAATGAATTTGAAAGAACAGTTTCAGTTGAAAGGTTTGAATTTGAAAGGTTTGACCAAGAGTTGACTTATTTGTATATGAGCTCAAATCGGAGTTTTTATGATTTGGTTAGCTTCGTTAGGTGATTTGTTACTTAGAAGCGTGATCGGAATTGGTTTTCGAAGTCCGGTGTAGAATTAGGCTTGAATTGGCGAAGTTAGTAATTTGGCGAATTCCGGTTGATAGGTGAGATTTTGATCCGAGGGTCGGAATGGAATTCTGAGAGTTGCTGTAGCTTTGTTATGTCATTTGTGATGTGTGTGCGAAATTTTAGGTCATTCGGACGTCGTTTGGTCGGGTTTTTGATCGAAAGAGTAATTCGGAAGTTTTGGAATTCTTAGGCTTGAATCTGAGGGTGATTCGATGTTTTGATGTTGTTTTGAGCGTTCCGAAGGTTGGAACAAGTTTGAATGATGTTATAGGGTGTGTTGGCATGTTTGCTCGGGGTCCCATGAGGCTCGGATATGTTTTGGAGGAGTTTTTGGAAGATTTTGCCGTTTTGAGCATAAGCATGTAATGATCCAAAGGTTCATTTTTAGTTCTAGAGATCGAAATTTGATTTCGAGACTTCCGGAATTTTGACAATGAATTATAGAGTGATCTGGAAAGTTTGGTTTAATTTCATCAAGTCGCGATTGGGTTTTTGACGCGAAACATGAGTTAATTGTTTAACGAGCGAAATGGGTATCACACTGAGCAAATGAGCTCCGAATTGAGTTTCGATTGAAGGGCTATGTTCGTATTATGATTTGTGACTCATAGGAACAAGAATCATCGAATTTCGAGTTTGTATGATGGAGTTAGAGCCTTTTTAGTGAAATTAAAGATTGCTGGTGCATCAGATCTGGTGTGCACCTTTTAGCGACCAGATTTGGCACTTTTAGCGACCAGGTTTGGCTTTTAGCGACCAGATTCGGGTGTATTAGTGTTGTTCTGTTTTTTTTTTCTCATTTTGGCATTTTTTTTTGTGAAAGAACACGGCTTGGGGCGATTTTTGAGCAAGAAATCATAGGAAATCTTGAGGTAAGCCACTTGTGATCATTTCTACTCCATAATATTGAATTATCATCGAATAATCTGACTACATTACAACTTTTTGAGGTGTAAATTGGGGATTTGGACCTAGGGATTTGAAAATAATATTTGAAGATTTGGAGGTCGAATCGTTATCGGAATTTAGAAATTTTGGTATGGTTGGACTCGTGGTTGAATGGGTTGTTGGATTTTGTGAGTTTCGTCGAATTCTGAAGCGTGGGCTCGGGGGCCGGGTTTGAGCAATTTCGGGATTTTGATGTTAACTTGGATATTTTCGAGTGGGCTTTGCTCCCTTAGCATATTTTAATGATTATGTACTGATTGTGGCTAGATTTGGAGCATTCGGAGGTCGATTCATGCGGGCGAGGCATCGCGGGCTAGAGTTTGGATCGGATCGAGGTGAGTAATGATTGTAAATGATATGTGGATCGGGCTGCACGCCGCAGCGATATGTGGATCGGGCTGCACGCCGCAGCGGTTACTATATGATACTGTTCTGAGAGTGGTCTGAGAGAGAGAGCCCGAGGGGCTGAGAGTGTTTCTGAGAGTGAGCCCGAGGGGCTGGTACTGCTTTGAGACATTGCCCGAGAGGCGAACTTTTATGTGCGCATCTTGCATATTTATTTGCCTTTACCTGTTATACTGTGGTATTGGTGCCCGAGGGGCGGATTTTTCTGTGCTTATCAGCACTAACTATTTTGAAATCATTTTTCGTAACTGTTGAAAAGATCATTTTCAAAAGAGTTTTAAACTTAGCCAAGATATTTCCAAAGATTTCACAGCTTTACTGTTTTCTCAAAGGATTGTACCTTGCTTCTATACAGCATGATGGTTTGCTTTACGTGATTTCTTACTGTTCAGTTGTTATTTACCTTTGTTACTCACTGAGTTGGAGTACTCACTTTAATTCCTGCACCTCGTGTGCAGATACAGGTATCTATTCACCCGGTAGCGGGTTTTGGCCGATCAGAGGCAGAGTTACATGAGTTAAGGAGGTGACTGCCAGCGTTCGCAGCACCATGTTTCTCTCTTTTGTTCATTATTCCGGTTTTGTATATTTTAGGCCTTGTAGAGGTTTTACATTCTGATAGATGCTCGTGACTTGTGACACCCCGGTTTGGGCTGTGTCGGGATGGTTCTACCATTATTATCTAAGTTTTTGCAAATTATTGTTATTAAATCATGCTTCATAATTGCTTAAATGGTTATTAACTGCTTAAAAGAGGTGTTCTGTATTGGTCTGACTGGCCTTGTCTTCACGAGAGGCGCCATCATGATCGGGTTCGGGAATTGGATCGTGACAAGTTGGTATCAGAGCCTAGGTTACTAGGTCTCACGAGTCATGAGCAGGTTTGGTAGAGTCTCACAGATTGGTTCGGAGATATCTGTACTTATCCTCGAGAGGCTGCAGAACCTTTAGGAAAACTTCAGATTCTTGAATTCTTATCGTGCGTCCTTGATTCAGCTTGAAAAGAAACTCTTGAAATTCCTTCCACGCGTTCGTAAGCGCGCATGAGCGCGCAGTATCAGATGTGACTTGATGGCTTGTGATCCCCCGATCAAGGGGTGAGTTTTGATCTCTGTGAGTTTGATGTTAGGCCAGTCTGGAGGACTTGGGGGGCCGGATCTTTGCCTATGGGTTGAGCACTGAGGTACTGATTGTGTGAGTAAGTGTTTTGAACTTATATGTTCGGCAGTGTCCCTATTAGTGGAAGTGATGGTTGAATAGCTATGTGATGAGTATGTTAGTACTGCGGGATGTA